TTACACCTCAGTACTGGATGTTGATAATGTATTATTAACTGATGCTCCTCCCAGCAAGTCATTTTGACCACTACCAGATCTAGATGAAGTAGCTTGAGATTGCAAATTATCCAACTGTTGAGTAACTTCATCAGCCCAACGACAATTAATTAATTCATAAATGTGCAACGAAGCCCTTGATTTTGCAAAAAAAAGGAAGAAAGGGGTAGATTCGATCTCTCCATCTGGATAATATGAAAGATGGAAAGTATTTACCATTTTGATTGTAAGTTATATTTATTTAAAATAGAATAATCTTCAAAATATCATTCTCCTAAAGGGAAGTATTAGTGGAGTTTTGTTCTCTGAGCTGGATGATTTGGTCATGGAAGTATTAGTGGTAATAAACAAGTAATGAAAATACATTATTAGGCAAAAGTTTAGTAACAACCAAATGGGAACAGAAGGCACTGCTAAGATGTAATCCAACTGTTGATTCATTGATGCAAGTATTTTTATTTGGTTTTATATATTTTCCTATCGAGAAACCCAAGACTTAGTTTGGAAGTTTAATCATACATTGGATAAACCCGGGGGTGAATAGCACAGTAAATATTTAGATACCACATAAATTTAGGTGAAATTATGATTTATCTAATTTGAGTGATCAACAAGTTTAATTTGTGCAGGAATCCGGAAGACTTTAAGTTGTGTTCAGATAACTAACTGCATACATTGACGGAAGAGAAGAGCTTGTGCTGATGCTCTTTAAAATGAAAACCGAGGTTTCGCCGTTAATTTAAATATAAAAATTATAGAAATGCTACAGTGGAGCTACAAATTTACATAAACACAGATAATTCTTGGGTTAATTTAATTCAGCCACTAGTTTTAAAAAAAGCACACTATATATGAACTACGTCGATCCCATTTAAAGCAAAAGAAGATAATAAGCGACAACCAGTTTATCCAAAAAAGCAAGACGAAATCTTATAGTAACTAAAAGAATACTCTAATCCTATCGCTAACAATAACGAACAGTTTGATTCTTTACTGATATAAGGTCAGAACCATAACCTAAAGTGTTTTACTAATTATTTAACTGATATCTATGATTTGGAGTAATGACCTAGTAGTTAAGGCGTTCGACTAAGCTACTAAGCCTCAGGTTTGAACTCCGCTCAATCTACTTCGGTTTAGAAAACCGGTTAGTATCGTTGGCCTTAACACTTACACTCCAACTCACAACTAAGTGCCTTGTGAATGAGTTAATTTGAATTTCAAGTTGAAAATTCCTACTTTGGTCGTATTTTCAGAGACATCATTAGGTCCCCTGCATAGTTTCCATCATATAATATGTCAACATGAAGCGATGATTTATAAAACCTTGATTACCAATTATTGCTGTCATCTTTACGATAAGTCTATTGAACTGGTATATTCAAGTGTGACCATTTACTAGGTGTGATGAGGAATCGAATAAAAAGCTAAGTTAGTAAGTATTGAGATTTTAGAAGACAAATGACAACTTCTTCTCTATAGATTCGCACTCCTCAGAAGTGTTCACAAATGACAACACACGGAATTTTACTTAGTACTGGTAACAAGCAAGAGTTAATTCATTCGTTTACGCTTTCAAGTACAGTACATTTTTAAAATAGCGATATTTGTATGTGATATCTCCGATGAACTGTCATGACGAACTTCACAGTTTGGGATGTTTTTCCTAGAATCGTGGGGTAGTGTTGCGACTTTATGAGCCGCTTGTTACCACGTGATCTATTCGCCAATCAAAATACGACTTATTCGCTCTTATACTGTACCTAACCAATGACGTTCGACCAGTCTGATCAGCCTAGCGTCCTATTGACCCATTGCCCGCCTAGCCCGTCCAGCTGAGTCCAGAATGCCAATAACAGCCTCCACTATGCAAATCATTTATTTCAGACATACTGGGTTTATATACCAAACAAACAGACCGCAACGCACCATAAAATAAGAAATAACGTTCATAAACAATAAAGCCAAAAAGTGGCTGTGAACGTGGGAGGCAGTAGTCAATAAACTGAACATAGCTTAAGAACAATAAATCGTACAATAATAATATATAGGTCAAAATAAAGCTTATAACAAGGGGAATATAGATATACATAATCTAGTTACTGAATATTTACACCATAAGAATATATAAATAATATTAGTCCATTAATAGGTTTCGGAAGTTACTCGTAATGTGATCTTCACTAGGGTATAACAGGTAGCACTGACGACGCTTAAAGAATACAAGACACATTTCGTCTAGTTTCCTCATCATCAGCAACAGGGAAGCTGGTAAGTCTAGTCAATTCGAAATACTATTAACCGATGTCGTCATTCCATTAAATTTGTGAAACGAATTTTGGGAAATCTGTCTTAAAGCCAGATTACCAGTGAACCCAATTATTTCTACAAATGTATTTTTGTTTTTTAGTACAAATCAAAGGTATGTAATCATCCTTACAGGAAATTTACTCCACGATATTCATATGTCCAGAAGTTTATTCACTTGGGTTAATCCCTTTGAATAGATTTTCAATGTACTAATAATATTATGGGGTAAACGAGTAATTAAATAATTCATTAATTGTGATGTTTGAGTGGTTTGAACCAGAATGTAAGGCATTAACGCGAAACAATTCTTAAGACTATAGACGATTTGTTGTTCTTACATGAATCCTACAACGGACTGTGATGACATATCCGAGAACTCCCGTACATATCCTGAAATCATATCATTGACAGATTGTAGCGCCAAACATTTATATAAGGCATCTTCAGGTAATAATACTAAGGAGAAAACTTCAGTAGCTGATAACAACCATATCCATTGGCTTCAGTGCTCCCGAATTCTACTGATTTTGAGTGGCATAGTATGGTGTCGTGCTTATTAAACTATTCAAAAGAAATGTTATTTTTATCCATTTGGAAACCACATACAAAATGTATATTGAAGCAATTAGGAGATACTGACCACTGGAGTAAGTGATCGTCGTACTGTGATATTACATGCATCTTACTCACTACCTTCTTGCGGAGAGGATGCTGTTTACAAAATTGAAACGGCGAATAGCGAATGTTCGGCGCTCAAACCGGGTTGATGGATACAGAGTGTCTGTCTAGGGGAGTCGGAAAACCCTGATTCCAAATCAATGGTGTGCATGGTATCCAGGATCCTGAGGGAACAAAAGATGTACGAACCTATTGCTGATCACCGTCTATCATGAGACTGCATTTCTTAAAAGTGCTCCACTTCCTTGTGGATTAGACCTCTAGGTTTAAGGCTTGAAGTGTGACCCCTAAGAATACCACTTGCTTCGGTTAGGCGAACCAGGCAGTATCACAGCCCTAACAAAAACCAATGATAACTAAAACTCGACTCCTCCTCAAGTGTCACCATAGCCAACGATTCTAGTGCGCAAAACACTGTCCCATCTCTACTGAAATCTCGCTCCACACTATACATTCGAGCCTTCAACGTAAGCACCCTATGTCAAATCGGTCAACAGGCCTCCTTAGTTACAACCCTAGAATCTCGTACCACTGAGGTATGTTGTGTCTTCGAAACACATATACAGGATCCTAGTGTAGTCATTCACTTGACCTCATCTCACCAAAATGGAGAATCGACGAGATACACCCGCCGCGTATATGGAGACCCGATGGCTAGCTCTTGTGGACTGGCAGGTGTAGGCATGGCACTAAGTACGAGCGCAGAACAAACACTGATGGAGTAGATCCCCAATAACAGTCATCTATGTACTGTTCAGTTAAACGGCTCCGTAAGAACTCGGAAGGATATGGACACACGTCGTTGCCTTTTCGTCGCTTCTGCCTATGCTCCCACTGACTGCAACCTGGATGAAGTGAAAGATGACTTTTACAGGAATTCTTCAAAAAGCTAGACACGTAAACATAGCGCTCGTAGCAGGTGAATTTAATGCCCAGCTAGGTAGTTTAAACCCAACAGATAGATATTTCAGTGGGTATTTTGGTATTCTGGCTCAGCGAACATATAACGGTGACCGTCTGCTGCGAATGTGTTCAGACAATTGTTTAGTTTTAGCAAGTACTAATTTTAAGCATAAGGAGAGACATCGTCTAACTTGGAGACCTCTTGCACCAAACCAATGATGGACTCAAATAGACCATATTGCCATCAGTCATCGTTTGAGAGGCCCGACAAAAGATTGTCGCTCATTCTAGAATACCTACTTGAACTCCGACCATGCTCTAATACGGGCATGCATCTGATTGCACCTCACTGGACGCAGAGAAGCCACACTAAAAAGAACCATTAGAATTGAATTGAGTGACGAGAAAACCAAAAGTAGGTTCCAGGAACAACTGAGGTCACACTTAGGTAGTTCTGAAAACGAGGCCAAACCAGATGTTGCTTGGATAGATATACGAACAGCTGTGGAAACAGCAGCAACATCTATCAACGATTTAAACCAAAGGGTCACGAAAAACAAATGGATTTCTACTAATTCCACTGCAGCATTTGATTCTGTAGATCAAGGTTCTGTGGAAGTGTGTCATTAAAAGTTGTACCTCGGAAGTACATAAACCTTGTGAAGGCTCTTTATTCAAACACTACAAGTCGAGTCAGAACTTATGGCGAACAGTCATCTGATTTTGCAACCTCAAGTGGTGTCCGGCAAGGTTGTCCACTATCTCCATTTTTGTTCAGTCTCATCATAGACCAACTGCTGGAAATAACGCTCTCATAGATTGAATTTCCAGGGATTGGTCTCCTACCAGGAGGTTCACTTATTCACTGAGGAAATGTCGCCTATGGTGAAGGCGAGATATCCGTCTATCAATAAAAGGACGAGTATACTGCGCAGCAGTTCGTTCCGTTCTACTTTACGCCAGAGAAACATGGCCATTAATTAAGAGTAGAAGATACCTTAGAAATATTTCTGGCATCTGCTGGGATCACCGGGTAAGTAATAGTGAGGTTAGACACAGAGTATTAGAGAGTGATGGTAGATCAGTTGATGAGGTTGTGAATCTTTATCGACTGAGATGGTTGGGCCACGTGTTACGTATGCCTGGACACTACCACCACGCGTAAGGCTGACCAGTGTTGGAGACGGTTGGAAGAAAGATAAGGCAGTCGAACCAAAGCGTGACATCAGTCTTGGAAGTCACTAACTTCTAGTCTAAGCCATGTTGGCAGATCCAAACTACATGGTTAGGGTTCGCGCGATTACAGTAACCAATGGTTGGACACTGTGCGACATGGCTGGGAATCGATCACAATGGTGTCGGTGTATACATTCTTTATCTTCCCTTAAACTGTGAGATTGAAATTGCTTTATACCTTTCCTTCTACGAACTAATTCTTTCTTCCTGTACTATATCCTTATATTCAATCTTTCTTTTATACATTACTATCATTGAAGTGACTACTTCTATGAATCCGGTGTCCATCTTGTTGTGTTAATGAGGTGTGGCAACTTGGACCGATGCATATATGTGCCTGGTCCTACGTTGTAGCTGGCTGGCTCAAACTCGGCGAAATTTTTATCAAAGTTAAAGAATTGAAAACCCTCACACAAACACCAAAACACTTTGAAAAAACGTAATGACCACAAAATTACCGGCAATGAGGGCACTGAGACCGTGTTTCTGTGATCCATTTCTACAGATTCAGGGGTTATTGAAAAAGGGCTTACTCTTATACACTTGTAGCAACACAACTTCGAACAGTGTGGACACAAACGAGCGTTATTAAGCTTCTCCATACATATAAAGCAGCGGAAAACTTCAGATAAACTCTAAAAGTGGACAATTACATAACGTTATAATAATCCATACTTCAAACGTGTCCGCTCCAGTCAACTTTTTGTCTCTACGAGATTGTGCCATTTGTACGCAAACAACCGTTTAGTGTTAACAGTAACTTTGGGTTTTCCTGTGTAATATCATCTATGAAAAGCACGGAAAGTTAGGGCAGTGATAGACTTGCATTTACCCTGAAGGTGCCTTTTTGTTGGATAAGCGTCAGTGGGATAACTAAAAGAAAAATGGAGATGAGCCAATGAACCGAGGAGCTTTTTAATAAGATAAGTGTAATAATAGATGAAATAGCGGCCAAGAATGGACAAACGCGAAATCGAGGTTATCTAGAAGCAACTATAGAAATTATGAAGAGCAAGGTCGCGAATGCACCACAAAAACAAACCATACAAACTGAGCGCATCTGGTTGGAGGGTGTATATAACGTAATTGACTTATTCAAACTACGCTGAGTAGAAATTCCAAACTGTTCGTCCCGTTAGATATGTGTCTGAATTTCAAAATAAATCACTTTGTGGCATTATCTTAATAATAACTACTCATTAACTTGAAAATAAAGAAAACATTCAATTAATATCAAGTAGCACTAATTAAAAGGACAGTGGTATTTTTCATTGCTGAGTAAATTCTATTGTTTTTATCGTTTATTACGTATCAAAACTACTATTTACACTTTAATTGAATTTATTTCAATTAAAGTATCTAGTAAGAGTATCGTTTTTGTTTCGAACGGGAAGTTCAGTCCTAACGTGATTAGCATTTTTCAAACTTTAGCTGTGTTCTTACGCAACATAAGTACCATTTCTGACCAGAAGAATCTATCCTGAGCTATACGTTCAGTAGATTACTCTTTTTTGAGTTTCACCCAATTTAATAGTTAACTGTGGTTTTGCCTCAGCTTACTGTTCGGTTCTTTTTTCAGTTTTTCACGTAAAGACTAGTTCAGTTTATCTCATCCGTTCTATCCATTTTTGTCCGTTTTCAGTGTACTTTTTAGTGTATTTTTTAAGGTCTTAGGCTTTTGCTAGCATCTACAACACAGTTTACGTCAATACAGTCATGAAAAATTCATGCAAACGACCTGGATGCCGTTTTCCTGTGTAGTGTCAGTTATTATGCCAAGCCCATATACCTTATTCTAACTTCCGGACATCCTATTTTATTCATTTTACTTGAGCCATATTTTGACCTTGTCACTTATTCGCTTATTAGCCTTGACTGTTTTCACATGAGCGTATATGTGTGTACACTTCATATCCCATGTTTCATCACATGTCTGTAGTTTATTTTGTCTGCCTATAAATACTGAGTAACGCTTAATTAAAATGGAGTTGGCTTCCCAGCCATCTTCCCTGCGTGTCGTTTTGCTTTGCTATGTTTCATTCGTTTCATGTACGAAATATATGTATTCAATGGCCATTCTCGTTAATTGACTTATTTAATTCGGTTATTGGCTAACGCGATTTAAGTCGACTATTATATACGAGAAAAGACGATAACAAACATCCATACAAGCTAAACAGGAATCAGAACCACGGGCCACTAGAGTGGTGAGCCCTTCAACAAATATCGCCGATCTAAATGAGGACAAAATCAAGCTACGGGCCTCCACAAAAGTGGTAAGCTTGCCGACGACGAACGCAACGCAGCAAGCTACGTCGATGAAGAGATTTCTGCACTTGATACATTCGACGAACGCACTCAACGGGTCCAGCTCAATCTCTAATCCGACGCACTCAGCAAATCCTGTGCAACACGACATGGACATGCACAAATCTTATTATCTTATTGTTACTTTGTCCTCATGTCAATTATCTTCATTGATACATTTGTCGGATTGTTCCATTACGATTCAAATTATCATTGTATGCTTATTATTACATTATTGCCAATATCATGATCGAATGTGGAATTATTAATCTTGTTCGTGCTGTCATTAAATCATGACATTTTCACAATCATATTACTCACCGAACAAATTATTATTTTATGAAAATTCCACTTAACCTTGTGAGAACTCATTGGGATATTTTTACTATTCGAAAACTTGAAATTTTCCTGCTTTAAGTGAGTTCGTTCCAATTTTTCATGTCATTTTGATCTAATATTACATTCATTCACTTAGTCGAGGTCCGCAATTTATGTTATCACAACATACATTTTTCATTTCGAAATCGCCTCCTATTATGTCTGTGCATGCTTCTGACTAGCTGATTAGTAACTGATGATGTCACAGGTATTCAGTGTTTGACAACGCTTCTACCAGTAACACCTTCTAATATATTTCGTTCCCACCCAGAGAAATCAAAAGACAGAGTCGAGGAGATCGGAAGAGTATATTTGGCGATGACCAATATATCGGAATTCTCTGATCTAATCTGGCTAGCGATTGCGGTTGATGTTGAGCACGGCGTTACCACACGTGATCTGGTGCGGATGCCTGACCGAGCGCCTTCAGCTAGATGAGTCCACTAAAACATATGGTCAGCATCCAATGTCGAAAACTTACAGAGCTATTTATTTTGGGGATTTATTTACCGCTACAGATCACTCCACCCCCTAGTGGGGCAATGATGACCCTAAGACGTGGCCAGCCAGAAGTTTAAACCCAACGAGTTTGTCGTTGGTAAACACTCTTCTGATAGCTTACTAAGTGTAGCAGCGTCTGGTCGTCTTTCCTTACTATATGGGACGGAGGTACAACATAGTAAAAAAAGAAAATGTACAATGAAAATTTCGGATCCTCATAAACGTCATCGTTGTTTTCCAGCCGTCCTGGAAAAGAAAAAAGAAAATGTAAGTGCATGTCGAAATACACTCGTATGTGCGTAAAAACACAATATCAGGGGAAAAAAATGGAAAAAAAACTCATGAACACGTAATAGCGTTAAAAAAAAATTGTTTTTTTTGTTTTGTATTTTTAAATAGAAATAAAAATATATAAGCATATTAAAATTGTTTTTTTTTAAAAAGAATAATATAAAATGTCAAGAAGTGCCTTACGTGCAATAGTCGTTTAAATGTTCTGGAAATCTCACCCTTCTTCCAGAACGCGTCGTTTTAAGTTTATTTTCGTGTGTGTTGGTTGTCGGATGAGGTATTATAAGTGTCGGAGTCGTGTCGTTCGATTGTACCGAAGGAAAATCCACGTAGATAGGATTTCCTTCTAAATACGCTGCTTTTAAGCGATCGATGCTGATACTATCGTTTGTTCCGTTCTTATCGACTATATAGTACTTAGATTCACGTTGAAGAACTTTGAAGGGTCCTTCGTATGCTGATTCGAATGGTCGTCGATGCGAGTCTCGACGAACGAAAACGTGTGTACTATATCGTAAGTCAGGTTGAACGAAAACATCAGTTGATTGAGGTCGAGTGGAAGCAGGTTTAACTGAGCGCATTGCGTTTGTAAGCCTGTTCGTGTAGGAGGTTAGATCCATGTTCACTGAAGAGGATGAAGGATACACGAATTCTCCTGGAAGTCGAAGTGTCGTTCCATAAACGAGTTGAGACGCAGTGTATCCAATGTCAGCTTTCACTGCATTGCGGACACCTAGTAAGACGAGTGGCAGAGCGTCGGTCCATTGTGAAACGATTGCAACTGATAGCGAAGCTTTCAGTTGTCGGTGAAAACGTTCTACCAACCCGTTTGCTTGTGGATGGTAGGCGGTCGTTCGGAAGCGAGTGATTCCTAAAAGTGTGGTCAGACGACGGAAAAGATCAGATTCAAACTGACGTCCGCGGTCTGTAGTGATGGTTGAAGGGCAGCCAAAGTTTGCTACCCATCGTTCGACGAAGGTGCGGGCCACTGTTTCAGCAGTGATGTCCTTGATAGGTACTGCTTCTGGCCATCGAGTGAAACGGTCTACGCAGGTTGAGGGGTAAGAGTATCCATTTGAATCTGATAAAGGTCCCACCAAATCCAGATGGACATGATCGAAACGAGCATCGGGAGTTTTGAAAGAGTCTAAGGGACATTTATTGTGTCTGATAACCTTAGATTTTTGGCAGCTTACACAGGAGCGTGCCCACTCCCTCACGTCTTTATTCATTCCAGGCCAGCAAAACCTTTCTGCTATAAGCTTGATGGTTGCACGAACACCTGGATGCGAAAGTTTGTGCAATGTGTTGAAGACATTGCGTCGATAATGTTTCGGCACGATTGGGCGATCCCTACCTGTAGATGTGTCACAAAGTAAGGTTTCCTTACCTGTTCCCATCTGTTTGATACGTAGTTTAAGTGTTGTGGACGATAACTCGTGCTGAAGATCACTGTCTTCTTTTTGAAGCTCGGCGAGTTTAAGAAGGTCGATTCCTTTTAAACTGTTCAAGGAAGTTATGCGAGATAAAGCGTCTGCAACTACATTGTTTGCTCCAGAGATGTGTTGAATATCTGAAGTAAACTGCGAAATGTAGTCCAGTTGTCGAGACTCACGGGGAGAGTACTTGTCAGAAGGAGAGCTTAACGAGAAAGTGAGCGGTTTATGGTCCGTGAAAAGAGTGAATTCACGACCTTCGATGTAGTGTTGGAAATGCCGTACAGCACAATACATAGCTAGGAGTTCCCTACCGAATGTGCTGTACCTCGATTCGGTGTCTAGCAACCTTCTAGAGAAAAATGCCAAGGGTTGCCAGGAGTTGTTAACCCATTGTTGTAAGACTCCTCCGATTGCCGAGTCGGATGCGTCTACTGCGATGCTAATGGGTGCTCGGGTGTCCTGATGTGCGAGCATTGTTGCTTTAGCAATCAGTTCCTTAACTGTGGAGAATGCTTTTCGTGCGGTGTCGTCCAAATTAATGGATTTCGCATTTCCACGAAGTTGGTCGGTCAGAGGTTTCATAAGTAATGCGCATTTGGGTATGAAACGTCTATAGAAACTTACCAGGCCGTTAAACGTGCGTAATTGCTTGACGGTGGTCGGTTCTGGGTAATCCAGAATGGCCGCCACTTTGGTCCTAAAAGGTCAAATGCCTTGAGCATCGATAGTGTGTCCTAGGAAGTCTAACGAGTCGGTTCCGAATTGGCATTTCTGAACGTTTACAGTTATGCCATGTTTTTGAAGTCGTTCGAAAACAAGATCCAGATGCTTGAGATGTGTTTCTCTGTCCGGACTTGCGATTAGACAGTCGTCAACATACGCGTGTACGAAGTTGAGACCTCGAAAAACGTCGTCTATGAATCTTTGGAATGTTTGAGCAGCATTCCTTAGACCGAAAAGCATTCGCAAAAATTCATAGAGTCCGAAAGGAGTTATGATAGCTGTTTTCGGTATGTCGTCAGTAGCCATAGGGATTTGGTTATACGCTTTAACCAAGTCGATTTTCGAAAAGACAGTTGTACCTTTCAAGGTAGCTGTCAAATCGTGAATGTGAGGCAACGGGTAACGATCGGGAATGGTTTTCGCGTT